CATTTACACCATGGAATACTATGTAGCTGTAAAAAAGATATTTTATCCTCTGAGACAGCCTGGAGGGAACTAGAAAATATTATGCTAAGTGAAATAAGCCAGTCAGAGAAAGACAAGTACCACATGATCTCATTTATATGTGGAATGTAAAAAACAAAATAAACTGATAAACAAAATGGATCCAGAGACACAGAAGCATGGAACAGACTGAGGGATCTCAGAGGGAAGGTGGCGACGGAGGAGTGCATGGAGAGAGATTAATCAAAGAACTTACATGTTTATAAGCACAACCCATGGACACAGACATTGGTCTGGAGAAGGTCTGGGGTTGGGGTGGATGCAGGGTAGAGGGGATCAATGGGGGTAAAAAGGGGACATCTGTAATATTTTCAAAAATAAAGAGAAAAAAACTTTTTAAAAATTAAAAATAAAAAACAAATTTGACCCTGGCCAGTGTGGCTCAGTTGGCTGAGTGTCGTCCCATGCACCAAGAGATTGTCGGTTGGATTCCTAGTCAAGACATGCCCGAGTTTCACGCTTGATCCCCAGTAGGGAGCAGGCAAGGGAGCAGGCAGGAGGCAGCCAATTGATGTTTCTTTCTCTCTCTCTTCCTCTCTCCCTAAAATCAATAAAGAACATATTAATAAATAAAATAAAAAGCAAATTTGAGAAGAATAATCTTTTCAACAAATGGTGCTAGGACAACAATATCCACATGCAAAAGAACAAAATCAGATACCAACCTCACCATACTAAAAAAGTAACTCAAAATAAATCATAGGCCTAAATATAAAGTTGGAGCTCTTAGAGAAAAACATGGGAGCAAATTGTTATAAACATAGATTAGGCAATAGTTTCTTAGATATCACACCAAAAGCACAAGCAACAAAAGAAAAACAAGATAAATTAGGCTTCATCCAAATTTCAAAGTTTTCTGCTTCAAAGGGAAGACAACCCACAACCCACAGGATGGGAGACATTTTTTTCAAATCATATATCTAATAAGGGACTCATATCCAGAATAGTTAAAGAACTCTTGCAATTTAATAAAAAGACAACCAACCAGTGAAAAAAAATAGACTAAGGATATTAATAGGCATTTCTCCAAAGAAGATATATAAATGGTCAATAAGCACAAGAAAAGATGGTCAACATCATTAGCCATTTAGTGAAATGCAAGTCAAAACCACATGAGATATCACTTCACACTTTCTAGGAAGGCAAAATAAAAAAAAAGACAAACAGTAACAAGTGTTGGTAAGGATGTAGAGAAACTGGAACCCTGTACATTGTGAGATTATAAAATGGAGTGGCCACTTTGGAAAAGTTTAGCAGCTCTCCAAAATGTTAAACATGAAGTTACCATATGACCCAGTAATTGCATGCCTAGGTATAGACCCCAAAGAAGTAAAAATATATGTACACATAAAAATTTGTACATGAATGTTCATGGCAGCATTATTCACAATAGCCAAAAAGTGCAAACAACTGGAATGCCTAACAGCCGATGAATAAAGAAAATGTGGTATATCCATGCAACAGAATATTATTTGACCATAAAAAAAGAATGATGTACTGACATATACTGCGATATCGATGAACCTTGAAAATATTATGCTAAATGAAAGAAGCCAGACACAAAGGCTACATACTACATGATTCCATTCATACAAAATGTCCACAGCAGGAAAATCTACAGATTAGTTGTTGCCAAGGGTTGAGAGGAAGGGGAATGTGGAGTTACTGCTGATGAATATGGGGTTTTCTTTGGGGGGTGATAAAATGTTCTAAAATTAGATAGTGGTAATGGTTACACAATTGTGAATATACTAAAAAATATTGAACGGTACACTTCAGAAGGGTGAGTTTTATGGTATGTGAATAATATCACAATATAGCTATTATTAAAAATACACATTTGAAAAATCCTATTGTCTACCTCATCACCTACAGAATACAATTCTGACTGTAGGATTGTATGCAAGGCCCATAAGAGCAGGTACCTCCTACCACTCCATCTTGACTCCCTACCAAGGACAGAGACTCTAGTTACAGCAAACTACTTGGGGTTCCTTGTGCTCTACTCACACTGCTCTCTCTGCCTTGGTTGCCCTTTCCCTATTTGCCTAATTAACCCTCACTTGTCCCTAAGACCCAACTCACTCCAGACTTAGCTGGTGGCCCTCCTTTGTGCTCCCAAGGCATTCTGTACATATGCCCTTATAAGATGCATTGGGATTATTCCACAAATATTGACTTCCTTGCTATATTTTCACTGAACTAGCTTTCTTCAAGGCAGGGCCTGTGCTATTTTTATCTTTGTATTCCTAGCTCCTAGCAGAGGTGCTCAGTAAATAAAATAAAGTAATACATGAATGAATGGAATGAATAAACTCTTCTCATTCTTGAATGTTTTTGATCTCTTGCCTTCTCTTAGTCATGTGTGTTAACATATAGTTTTCATGTTACATTTTCCTTGATTTCTGTCTATGATTTAAAAACCTACAGCTACATCTGTAATATTTTAAACAAAAACAAAAATAAATAAATAAAATTAAAAACCCACAGCTTTTGCCAATCCAGTGTGGCTCAGTGGTTGAGTGCTGACCTAAGAACCAGGAGGTCAAGGTTCAATTCCCAGTCAGGGTACATGCCCAGGTTTTGGGCTCAATCCTCAGTGGGAGGCATGCAGGAGGCAGCCTATCAATGACTCTCTCTCATCACTGATGTTTCTGTCTCTCTCTCTCCCCCTTCCTCTCTCTGAAATCAATAAAAAGGAAAAAAAATTTTTAAAAACCTTACAGCTTTTGTAATAAAGTAAGCTAAACAAAGGATTTCCACCTTAAATAAGTTACTAGCAAGTTGCTTTTCTCAGATGCTGTTTTTCTATATGGTTTGTATAATTTAGGTACTTATTATCATGATCGAGTTAATATCACAAGTAACTGATAGTGGACCTGATAAATGTGTCTGTGAGCTAATAAACTGAAACTGGCATTTATAAATATAGAATTTGAAACTGTTTTAAACTGCATTTCACTATTTCCTACATTTCACTGCTGCTATCCTCTAGCTCATTACCTCTTCACGTGACACAGACTGCTAAATTTCTTTATTGTGAGTTCATGTTCCTAAATTAGAAAGAAATAGAGATGAGACATGTAAGACCCAAAGTGAGTTTTGTGGCTCAGAGAGTGAGTCACAGAGATTAGACTTCAACACACGTCTTCCATTACGTTTCTTTTCTTTTCTTTTTTTATTAGAAAGGTCTTTTTTCTTTTAAATTGATTTTGGGGAGAGAGAGAGAAAGAGAAGGGGGGAGGGAGAGAGAAAGAAATTTATTGTTCCATTTATTTATGCATTCATTGTTTCTTGTATGTGACCTGACAGGGGATCTTACCACAACCTTGGTGTCTCGGGAGGACACTCTAACCAACTGAGCTACCCGGCCAGGGCCCATCACATTTATTTTCTAGTTCTAAGTTCAAATTTGAATTTACAAAAGTACATGACTTGCCTCCTTACCAGTCTTTTAGCTCGGGCGTGGGGTAGGAGGGATGTGTCAGAGTAGAGAAGGCATGTGGGTAGAAAGGTACATTTTGAAGTGGTGTCTCATGCTTACATTTGTCTTTGTCAGGAAGTGGCTGTGGGAGATGAGAGTAATATGTCTTGACAAGGAGTGGGTCTCAAACAGAATTTTTCTGCATAATCTTCCAAATGTATTGTTTTAGATAGCACTTGAAAAATGATTTTAAACTTTTACATGCCACAGAAACTCCATCTAGATTGTTTCTTGGGACAATATGCATTAGGAAGTGTACACTTGTTCAATTTTTTAGGACTCTTGAGTAAACAAACTTTAGCTAAGTCTTACAAATCAATACTAATGAGGTTTGGGATGCTTCATGACTGTTGCCTATGAGGGTAAAATGCTCTCACCTTCATTCTCTCTGCAATGGTGGTAACAACAGCCCCAGGGTTCCTATTCCTGTGCTGAAAGGAGCTCTACATACATTATCTCACTTGATCCTCACCATAATCCCAGGAGGGAGGAAGTAACTTAATCCCATTTTACACATGAGGAAATAACCTTAGAGGGGTTAAGTAAATGACACTACTGTACCAGAGCTGAGATTCCATTCAGATGTATCCTCTTTGAGGTTACCCTCATTTAGTTCCTAATGGTGGTTTTTCACTGCCATCCCTATGTCCAGCAAAGGGAAAATTATAACTTAGATGTATGTTCTAGGACTGGGTTGTTCAGGGTCCCACCTGCTAATTGTTTGGGCTTGAAATCAAGCCCAATTGTTTGGGCTTGAACAGATGTGGTGTGGTAGGAAAAATAATGGCCCCCAAAAGATATTCCTGTCCTAAACTCCAGAACCTAGAACATAGGACTGCACGTGATTAACGTAATGATTTTGAGATTGGAGATTTAGAATTATCCAGTGGGTCCCAAGTAATCATAGTAACCCTTAGAAGTGAAAGGGAGGCAGGAGAGAGTCAGAGATATAATGACTAAAGCAGAGGTAGAAGTGGTACAATTGCTGTCTGGGAGCCACAAACCAAGGAACATGGCAGCCTCTAGAAGCTAGAAACAGCAAGAAAATATATTCTCCCCTACAGCCTCCAAAAGCAATAAAGTGCACTGATAACCTTGACTTTAGCCCCATAAGGAATCATTTCTGACTTCTGGCCTCAAGAATTTTAAGACAATAAATTTGTGTTGTTTTTAAGCCACTAAATTTGTGGTGATTTGTTATAGCAACCACAGGAAACTAATATATATGATGTTTGACATTCAGATCCTTCCACTACACAGGGTCCAAAATTAATGCAGCAATGCTTAATAATGCTGTCCCTTTACCAGTAATCGGTGGTAGGTGTTACAAATAACAGGTATGAAAAGAAGGAGTTGTTACCGACCCTGAGGTTCTAAGAGCCAGCCTTACAAGGACATGTCACAATCTTCAGGTGCTTCCTTTTTGTTCTCTTCTTAGCATTAAAGCATCCTAAATTTATTACTTCATCATCTGTTGAGCACCTACTATGCCAGGTTCCAGAAATTCAAAGGTGAGTAGGACTCAGGTTCTTAAGGAGCTTACAGTCTAGTGGGGTAACGAGTAAATAAGTTATTTCAAGGCAACGAGATGTGTGCAAAGACAAAAATATCTTCAAAGGAAAGAATATTAGAGCATGGGAGATGAACTCTGCCTACGGAGGGTGAAGGGAACAGAGAGGTCTGGAGAGGGGTTGATGTCACTGCTGGGGGTGCCTAACATCTTTGGAATCCCCAGCTTTGGTGGGAGAGATTCTGACACCTAACCTAAGTGTCCCTAGATCTGGTTTCTGCGAGGGCTGTGGCGTCTGCAGAATCTCTTTGCTGTACATTTCAAGGCTGAGAATAGAGGGAGATCCTGAGAGGAAGAGTACAGGAAAGAGAAGAGTTGCTGATACCCAGACACAGCAGACGTTTGGAGCTCTGGAGAGCCATTCTCCATGATTTCCTTGGAATTTCAAAAGAGATAAAGTGAAAGGTTTCATAAACTATAATGTACCAACTATATGTTAAAAGTATTATTATCTACTCGCTTCAGATTCATGCTTAGACATTGGGAAGGTTCTTCTCAATTTTTGTCTCTAAACTAAGTAAATCTTCCTGTTATGAAAATAAACACAATAATGGGCATAAAAACTAGATTGATGTTTCATGGGCAATACCTAAAATGCTCCGTTTAAAACATACTGAATATTGGATACAAGAATTTATCACTTTGTACAAACTAGGGCCTTTTCTCATTATTATTTTCCATCCATAAACTTACTTAATCCTGAGAACGTATACACATTATTTCCTAAGAAACACTGATATACTAGGAAAGTGAATTTTAAAGTTGGAAAGGACTTTAAAGATAATTTAATCAGAACTTGTTTCACATATGAAGCATCTGAGGTCTGCAGGGGTTAAAAGCCCTTGTAGTTTACAGAGACTGGGCAGTGCTAAGATTAACATCCAAATCTCCCAATTCCCAGCCCAAAGTACACTGCACTTGCTTAGTTTGCTTCAAGGTTTATCTGGACTTACTATTTGGTTTCCAACCTTTTTAGGCAATAAAATTTTTAGCTTTTAGTGCAGGTCTTTTTCACAAAGTAAGTTTAACTATTGATCAGAGTTTTAAATTCATTTTACCAATTTTACAAATGAAGAAAGTAGAAATTGTAAATGTTGAGGAGAAAGGTAGCATAAATCAGCCCAAATTAAATACTTAAAGTGTTTCATTAATAACATTTCCAATATAAACTTACAAAGAGTTAATTTAAATATTTACGAAAATTTTCCTCAAAGTATAAAGTGACATTTTTTTCTGTGATAAATGGCATACTTGTTAAGTATTAAAAAGGCTAGAGAAGCGCCTTGGCTCAGTTACACAAGCTTTGCTAGAAGAGGTGATTGCCAAGGAAAGGGAGGAATCTCTGCTTCTGAGTCCACTTGACGTCGCCCGTCAGCTGAGGCGTCGTGAACAAAAGACAACTAGCAGAGCGTACAATCCATTTCCTATGAGGTCTGATATATAAAAAGATATTACCAAGGGACGTTACTACCAATTTTTCCACCTATTACTATTTCATCCACAGACTTTGGAAAGCGACTTTCCACATGTTTATCATTTTGTTTTTTCCCGGAGCGATTCAATCAACCGGGAAACCCCCTAGAGCGTTTCTCTTATTTCACTGAAGGAAGGGGATCTGACAATTCACTCGGTCTCTCCTGGGGGGCTTTCCAAAATGACTCACAAGGTTGGAATCCTGCCCCTTTCGATGGAAACCACGGGTGAATAAAAGACACCTCGGTGCGACGTTCCCCTCGCACGCACCCGACGCCGGGAGCTGCGCACTCGCGGAGGCAGCGGGGAG